GGCAGAATGACACTAAATAGACTTTTTAAATATTTTTGTTTTGTTAAATGTCTGAAGGAGAGGTCAGAGGTCAAATGTGGCATGACATTTAAAATCTAAACTTTTTGAGTAATTGTTTTTACAGACAGAATGATACTAAATATCAAAAACAGTTTGAGGTTTTATTATCAAATGTTACCAGGAGTCTCAAATTTTATGTCATTGGCGTATTTTTGTGAACTTTAAATGCCTAAAGGGACAAAAATAAATAAATACATTTTCTTCTACTGCTAACCTGCCTTTGGAGAGCACTGCATTAGTATACAGCGTACATATGGAGGTACTGCAGGAAGATTTTACCATGATTCTGGTGTTTCAACAAAAAGCAGGACGAGTCTTTTGTCATTTTGTCGAGAAATAAATCCGTCGGTCTCTGCGTCTTATTTTAGAATAAATTCTGTTACGCGATGGCTTGCAGAGAGGATTAACTCTGTTCTTTTTGAATCATCCCTTTTTTCACCTCTGTCAGTCTGCTTTGCTTTCTGTCTGACACTGCTCTATTATCCCGTATCCATGGTAACGGGTGATGAGACATTGTGTATGCAATCTTCTGACACTGTGCTGCGTGTGTTGTGTGTGTTTGATACCACAGTGGTTCAGCTCACACTGGTGTCTCAGTCCCAGTCGGCCCTGCAGGAAAACAAACTGAGAGGTTTGAGAATCGGGCTGGAGAAGCTCAACCAGTCATATCAGCTCCTGTTCTCCCAGTACCCTGCTCTAAACCAGTACTGCCCGATCAGCAACGCTACCACTGGTGGTGAGTCTGGGTGCTTTTTTATTCAGAGCTACAAGTGTTAAGAGAAAATCCAGAGAAAAAAATCATTTTTTACACCCACAAAAATCACAACTTTTCGAAGATGTTCCTGTGACAGTTCCTCGTACACACTGTGTCTGTTTTCAGGCATTTCTATGGCCAGACTTCAAAACTGACGCATCAGTGGATAACTGGGTGGTTTTAGTGTAAAGGTTTACCTGAGGCTTGGCTCTAATTATAAGGCTGTAACAGAAAGGTAAAGAAGCTAATGAATCCCTTATATAAAGGTCGAGTATTTAACCACAGACGAGTTTGTGAGAGAGAAATGTCAGTTTCAGTTTGGTCATTTTTCTTTCAACCACATAATGTCCCAGTCACGCTGCCAAACAAGCGGCAGATTAAATATAGACAACTGTTTACAAAAAACCCATTTAACAAAGAAGCTCTGATTTCCATTATGCTGTGAAAAAGACAAACAACTCGAGCGTGATTCAGATTCAGATAACAGATCCACTTTGAGCTTTTGTGTCATATTACATATGACGAGTTTCCAGTATGTTAGATAAACTGATTTAAACCAGTGAAACTGGATGTGTAATATTAGTCTGTTTGTTTTCAGTCTGTAATCAGTGATATAAATAAAGTAGAAAACATATTTATACCACTTACTTATGACACAACATAAAAACACACTACCATAAAACTATTACAGGCTTTTCAGAATGAAACCTGACATTAACACCTTCAGACTGTCGGGCTGTAGTAACTTTTAAATGGTTGTAGCTAATACACAATCCAAATTTAAGTCTTGCTTGTGGAGCACTGTATTGTTGTTTAATGATTTACACACTCAAAATGCAGTTTGTTGAAAAATATGTCATGATTTCAGTGCTGTTGTAGGATTATTTCATACTGAGAACAGTAATACTGTACTGAGATGTACAGGATGCTAGAAAATTTCAAATCACTGCTGAAACTTACCCTGGCTTGACATTTAAGGTCTTTTGAAGCTTAAAGTAGATTTAAACAAACTTTGAGGGGTGAGTAATCTGAGCCACATCTTTTACCTATTCTTTATTATTATTATTATTATTGTTCACTCAGAAAGAGAGTGCAGCCTATGCTTACCTGGCTGGACGCCTCAGGGACAGAAATGTTTCCTCTTCAGCCAGGACAGAGCTGACTGGATCAGTAGTCAGTACCACTGCATGGCACTGGGGGGCGTCATGGCTATAATAAGGACGGAAGAGGAGCAGGTGAATGCACACACACACACACACACACACACTACTCTGTCCACCTGCTCTGTCCTGTCATTTCCAGTTTATATTTATTCATCAAGCACATAATAAATATTAAATTAGCTTTGCTGGAACCCTTCTCCTCTCACAAATCTTCTTCCCTGCATTAATGACATATTCAGTCTCTGTCCAGTTGTAAATATTTGACATGCCCTTCCTGATATGTCCTACCTTTTGGACACACTATTTGACATACAGATTCATACCACCAGGAAGAGAAGTTAAGAATAGATTTAAGGCCTCTATGAAATATGGAGACGTCTGCAGGAGCGGCCAGTGCTTGAGGTCAAATGAGGTTTTGTGTTTCGCTCTTTTACTGTACATGTGAGACAGTTTGTGTTCTTGATTGATCAACAGTAAAGAGAATGTTCTTAAGGAATGAAATTAAGGCTTCTCTCTGCAAAATGGTAACGTTTGACATGTTTTTCAGGAGTTCCTGTGGGAGAAGACCCAGAGTCTGAGTCAGGGGGACTCATACTGGGTAGGCCTGAGGAGCAGCGGCGCTGACGGCGGCTGGCAGTGGAGCGATGGCTCACTGCTGGATAAGGGACCACAGTGAGTATGATGACAGGCATGAGGAAGAGGAGGAGGTGGTGCAGGACAAACAGGGCTCAGAAGGTGAAGAGCAAGTATGTGCTGATCTCTCCTCCTTAAGTTTGTCTCAGGCTGAGGACATTTTGCCAGATCAGCTGTCAGGACACAAAACTATGAGAGGACTAGATATTAAAAATGTATGTGTCCCTGTTCATAGTCAAACATTCCTCATGGTCTAAATATAAAAATACATTCACATTAATTACACCGAGCCACTTTAATGTCATCTGTCATTTGCTGCGCTTGTTTGGAGCTGGTTTCATTGGTGCAGTTTTCACCATCTCATTCTGCCACATTCCTTTAACCTGTTATCTCCCATTTGGGATTTAAGAAGACAATAACTACTTTATCCAATAATTTGTCTGTTATTTTTCAAAAGCAGTTGAAATAATAATAATATTAGTAATAGCAATGTTAGCAATATTCATAGCAATTGTAAGAATAGTAGTATTAATATATATATAATAATAATATTAATAGTGCTATTAATAATAACATAACAGGTGCATTTAAACAATTGAGAATCAACAATGATGAACAGAATTTAAGTAAAATGCTCAAATTAAAGAGCAGATAATAAACAATAATGGAATATGAGTTTGATCTTAATTTTAAAGATGACAACACAATCAAATAACATTTAGTAGTTAATTATAAGAAGCATACGATTTAAGTAGCAGTAAAATATTTGTTGGAATCAAATATTATCACATTTTTCCCTTCCTGTTTGTATATACTATTTAAACTGATCAGCCACAATATTAAAACTACCTGATGAATATTATTACAATATCTTTGTGTTGTGGTTCCCCACACTGGGGGATAAGATCCTCTGAGGCTTTCTTTGTGTGGCACATACTGAGCATACCCGATCAGAACTCTGGAATCTGGAGGTCTTGGTCTTGAATTCAGTAAAACACAACATTGTAGTGAGATTACAAAAGGTAATCACACATCAGTAATTGTGGATTATGTATAAGTGAGATTTGCAAAGCAGCTGAGAATTTCACTCCTAAGCAACCTAACCACGGTGTCTTCCCACTGTGGATTTACTGTGAGGGGATTAAAACACTGTGGGAGTTTTATTATGAACATTATCATATGTCAGAGAATCGGTTGCCACGGTAACAGAATAAAGTGTGTGTTGCAGGTTTTGGGCACGCGACCCGGATAACGCGGGTGAAAGCAGTGTGGATCTGTGTGGTCGACTCACCCCGAGGGTCGTGTACAGCAGGAGCTGGTTCACTTTCAGATGCTCCAACAAGCTGCGGACGATCTGTGAGAGGAGGCAAGCTTCTCTGACCTGACACCAAAATAGCTTTATAGCAAATAAACATTTTAATGAAGAAATCCCCGATGTTTTTCTGTGCTTTCATTGTGTTTTTCAGCTTCATTTTTTATCCACTATCTATCTACAATTATTTATTTATTTATTTGGGGGGGCAAACTCATACTAATTCAAATAAAACCTGATGTGAGATCTTCCCAATTTATGCACAGGAGGCTAAGGTTTATCCTGGTAATTTTATAGCTTATTATTATTATTCACTGCTAATTTGGAGCTGCAGGAATTTTCTGCCTTGATCCATCAATTTGATCTTTAAATTTTATAGCAATGCAAATTTTAATATATTCATAATTTTATCACGTTTGTTGTGTGAAGAGGAATGAAAGTCAGTAGAACAGGACAGGATACATGTGTGTGAAGGAGGAAGACAGTTGTAATAGTCCAGCTGCAAGGAGCAAGCGGAGGTGGGTGAATTTAAACACTTGGGGTCAACCAACAAAAGCAACAGGGTAGAGCGGGTGGAGGTGAGTGTCAGGGGTGATTTGTAACAGAAAAGCAGCAGCAAGGTTTACAAGAGACACAATGTATGATTTGAGTGTGGTGAGAATAACAAAAGCACAGGAGGCCAAGCTGGAGATGCTCAGATTTATATTGGGGGTGACCAGCATGGATTAGAAATGAATACATCAGAGATCCAGCTCAGGTCAAGCGGTTTGGACACAAGGTTACTGAGATGGTTTAGATTTTATTCATATGTGTATTCCAAGATGCTCAAAGGCACCTTACAAGCAATTAAAGACCAAAATCATGGTACGCTTAAAAAAAACAGTTGGAAAAGACCATGAAATGAAAAAGTCAACAATACAGAATCAAGCAGAACAGACGTGCTGACGCAAAGAACTACACTTTGAGCATGGCTTCTTTCTTTTAGTCCTTTATGTTAAAATAAATCTGTGCTTGTTGCTCCTCTGTATGTCCAGCAAGTGGCAGTGCTGCCTTTCCAAACATTGGTGGAGGCGCCATTTGTTGTGTGGGTTTTTTTGGCCGTTTTTTCCCAGCATGCTTTGCCAGCGCACTGTTTTGTCAGAACACCGGGAGCACGGATTATAACGGAATTGATTTGTCGACGGTAAGTCGGTTTTCTTAAGGTTTCTACGTGAATAGCGAGTCGATGATAATTTATTTTAAGTGTGTGCGCAGTTTAGAGCCTCTGTGAGTTGTTTTTGTGCTTTTTTTCTTTTTGTTCTGTGGTGAAAATGTTTTAAAAGCTGTGTGAGATTATACAAACAGCTGAGCAGGATTAATCTTAACTTTCTATTTTTATCGATAACGTCGTTAATGAACGGATTCATCAGGACTCTCGTTTTATTTTCCAGTTACTGGCAGGGGAAATGGGCTTAATATCAAATTAGAAGTTAGTTTTGCTCATGCCGAACAAGCTGTATTTTTACTCTTTTTTTTCTGAAATTATTTAACACATATTTAAGACCACAGTGGATCACGTTTCACATGGCGGTGTAGTCACGTGTTTAAATCGGCACACAGCATAAATGTTTGCAGTTAAAGAGCGCATCTTAAAGATATATTATTTAAGTAGCGCTCACTGACTATTATTAGGATCCTTTGTGGATATAAACGCTTTCTTGTAGTCCGTGTGTGCAGCATGGTCACATTTAAGCGTTGCTGACATGCTGTTGATCCTGTGCAGACCTCCAGCAGCTGAAAAATGTCAGACGCGGTCCAGGAGAAGATCAAGAACTACAGGACGGCTCCGTTTGATGCCCGCTTCCCCAACACCAACCAGACACGCAACTGTTTCCAGAACTACCTGGGTAAATGAGCCGTCTGCTGCACAGTGTCGACGCAAAGTCATGTCAACCTTTGTCATAATTCAGTGTTTTCTTCCATCAGACCAACGCAGGTCCAGTTCCTTGTTTCCTCTTACACTGAGTACAACTTGAACTTTGAAATCAGACAGGTAAAAATGGCCACAGGTTATTTGCACCTGTGCTCTTCAGCTTTGCCTGGGTCTTCACTCAGACTAATGTTTGGCTTCTCATAAATGTGTGAAGAACAGGAAACCTGCAAATCTGCTGAGCGTTGTGAGTCTTTCGGGGCCTTCAGCTGAATTCTCACTTATTTGCTTGCTTTTTTTTCCCCCCCCCTCATTTTGATTTCATCATCTATTCACATAAAAGCTGCTTTTGGCATGTTTGCTGAGTATTTCCAATACTTGACTGTGGATTTTGTTGTTTTCATTTGAGACTAATTGAGGGTTTAAACTGCAGCAGTTCTCACTTCCAAACTTATTCTGGTCAATTTTATTTCTGTGTTTCTTAATTTATAAAGAAATGTGAGACGACGAGTTTTGACAATCGACACAACCCATGCTTGATGTCTGAATTTCAATATTTAAATCAATCTAAGTTGCTTTGCTGCTAGTTTCTATTTCAAATGAAAACTCAAAGAATTAAACACATCTCCTTCTATGCTAAAGCCCAGTGTGACGGTGGATTTGCTGCAGACTAAATGCACTCTCTAATTATCTCTTTCATCGCTGCTGTGATTCAGCTTCAGGTTAGACCAGCGGTCCCCAAGCCCCCGGGCCTCGGACCAGTACCGGTCCGTGAGTCGTTTGGTACCGGGCCGCGAGAGTTGAGGCTCAGGTGTGAAATGTCTGGTTTTCAGGGTTTTTATCGGTTTTCAGCGTTATTTTGTTATCGTTTTTATCGTTAACTCGGTTTTCCTGGGTCTTTTCACGTGTGTTATGAATAAATCTTCTTTTTTTTCCGGTACTGGTACTAGTTTTATTTTGTTGTATTTATCCGCGACACATTAAAGGCCGGTCCGTGAAAATATTGTCGGGCATAAACTGGTCTATGGCGCAAAAAAGGTTGGGGACCGCTGCGTTAGACGTATTGATCCGTCTGCATATATAATGAATGTTTTGATTAATGCTGCTTCTCTGCTGATTTTTCAGAGTAAAAGTTTTCATCAGTCTTTGTGGAAGTGCAGTAAAAACTAAATGCCACCCAGACACAGAGACTCAGTTTCAATCTGAAGTGACTGTAACCTAAATCATTTTGGTAATCTGATACTGAATAACTGTTACAGGGCCATTACTTGAATTGACCAATAACAATGCTGTGACACTTTAGTTTTGCACTTCAGGGTAAAAAAGCTGCACATGGGGGAAGTTTGATTCCTGCCAGAAAGGCCTTTATTCCATGTGTACAACGGTGAAACACACTTATGATCTTTTCTCAGGCATAACCAGTCAGGCTAATGAAACTCCTGTTTATTGCAGGGTTTGAAGCCAGAAGTTACCTTATATGGATGATGGGGCACAACGCAATCAGTAATGCTTGGTTAGCAAGCAGCATTCATAAAGTGTTCAAGTGCAACACACTGATATCTATTTATCAATAGATAAATAAATGGTAAGTAACAGAGTAACAAAACACAAAAACTTGACTCGCCAAAACTAAAGCACACTCTTCCTGGATGATCTGTAGCACACAGCATACGTGCTACAGATCATCTATTAAAAATGCTCCAAATGCCCAAACATCACAGAGATGGTTGGGAGGTCCAGTTCAGTGACTATTTATCAGACATTAGGCCTGGCAGACAGCCGTTTGCTTCAGTTCACTGTTGAACGTCTCCCTGAGGCTGTTATGAAGGGAGAACTCTGTAGAGACCAAAACCATTTGTGTAGCAGGCTGTAAACACGTTTACTTCTGTGGATATTGGGAATCACTTCTGCAGTCAGGCTTAGGTGCCCATTAGAAAACCTTCTTGGTGCGTTTGCACTGGCTTCATTTTTAAGCTGTGGAGGAAAAGGATGGATGAATGACTTTGAAATATCTAAAATAAGCGTGTTGACAGCCCGATTTTAAAAAGGAGAATTTGCTATGAGTGGTTGACAAATAGGAAGTTATTTTTCTTTGTTTTGTTTTTGTATAAATTACCACTTATTTTACCATGAATACTTATATTTGTTGGATTTAATGTATATAACAGCTGAAAATTACAACAGTTTTAAGAGGAGTGATAACTGCATCTCCCCCGATGCAACTGTTTCTTATTTCAACATATTTGTTGGTATTTTATACATGTCAATGTTAGTTATTGTGTTCAAAAATATGTCAAGTACTTATTTCAACTTTGATCAGATAAATCTTAATTTTATTATTATTGATTAAAAATAATCAAATATTTTAAGGATAAAACATAATTTCTCAAAAGTTCCAAAATAACTTTGATATCTCAACATTCAATCTGATGTTAAAACAATTTTTGACTAGTTTATTATTTAATTATTTTACTTACTAATAGGTAAGTCACTCAGTCTGAAACTCAAGAGCTCAAACCAAACTCATGATGTATCTGAATTTATATTTTTTTAAATTGTATTTTAACACAATGTTAAAATACAATTTTATTTGTGTTACAAGTTTCTTTAAAATTTCCTGTCCTGTGATGTGACAGCCCGAACGCATCACACCGACGGACAGAAACAGATTGTGGTTTTGTTTGGGTTTGTTTTTTTTGTTTTTTGAGCGACAATAAATGTCAGGGTGTATCGGCATTTTATGATTTGTGGTTCTTAATTATAAAAGTTAATCGTGACTGAACCGTGGTTGTTTATGGTCACATAATAAAACCATGTTGACATTTGGCTCATAAATAAATGATGTTTGGGTTTCTAACAACAGTTCCATGTAAGATAAATGAGGACTTTGAGACTATCGTGTCACAGCAGCGTCAGCATATATAATGGGTAGTTTCCTACTTAACTCCAGAGAGGATGATTTGGATGTTTTGTTGTTGTTTTTTTTAATCTGATTGATTTTGTCATTCGAGTTAGACGTCTGGTCTCTTTTAATGGCACGTGAGCTAACAGTGAAGTGTAGCCTCCTTACTATTTTTGTGCTGTCTAAGGTTTTTGGAGCAGTTTTATTAAAATCACATGAAAAATGTCTTGCTGTCAAATATAGATCATTCAAGAAGTTTGTGCTTCTGTTTCAGTGAGTGAAATTCAAGTGTTTTATTGGCCTGTTACTTGGCAGGTGTGTTGCACCTGTGCGAGTATGAACATACAGCTTGCTAGCAACGTAGCATTATACGTATACCATATACGTCTCTGCTGGCTTCCAAAAACTAACAGGGCGACAGCTAAAATGCTGATGTTTCAAATAAATATACACGGTTTATGGTTGATTTTTGTAGGTCTACACTTCAACAAGCCATGCGTTAGTGTGGCATTGTGGTCGGTGACTCTGATGGTCCTAGAGTGACAATAGTATGATGTTGGAGGAAAACTGCAGATAAACAGAATCAGGCTCATTTATCTGACTCGAGTCCTTGAGTCAGATAAAGGACTCGAGGACACCGGCTGGCTTTGCTGGCTGTTTAGTGTCCATCTCTGGTTTGACAGCTCGTCCCCCTCTTTTTGTTACAGACTTCCACAGATGTAACAAAGTTCTGTCAGCCAAAGACCAGGACACGGCTCCCTGTGACTGGTACCGCAGAGTCTACAAGAGTCTCTGCCCAATCAGCTGGGTAAGTTACACGTGAAACAAATCTCACTGTCTCACTCGGCTGCACCTTCATTTGCTTCTGTTCCAAAATTCTTGATTTTAATTTAGTCATCAGTTTTCTTTTTCACTCATCACCTAGAAGCTCTACGTTTAAAGTTGTAAAAGTCACAGCTGTGTTTCAGGCTAGTTTCCACTCTAGGCATTTATTGCTCCACTTTTTGATTTTCTCCTGTTTTTTCTTTCCTGCAGGTTCAGAAATGGGACGATCAGATAGAGGCAGGAAGCTTCCCTGGGAAGATTTAAGGAAATGTTGATCTCCATCCAATTGTCTCATCTTAAGATATAAAAGTGAAAAACTCCAATATTTCTGTACAAAAATGTCATAATAAAATGTTACTATGAGTCATGTCTGACTTTTGCTAATTGACAGCTGTAATTTACAGTTTACTCAGGCTTTTAGCTGTGTCTGTGTGGCAGCCATTATAACAAGTGTTTGAATTCTCTAAATACTACAGAAAGGTGCTTCAATGCTTCCTTTATTACCTCCTTTAGGAGAGGAGACACTTGCCCATCCTTTATGGTAAGAAAGGAGATGATGCTGACCCATGATGCAAAAGTGTTGCATCATCAGACGGCTCATGAAAACAGTGGTGCGCATCGTTATATAAATTACTTATTGTGCCATGATTTGCTTTTAAACTTTAACTTTATTCAAGATTTTTAACAAAAAATGAGAGCTGAAAGCTGTTGTAGAGATGCAGCTCAAGATGATTGAACTAAAAACGGAAACAGTCATTCTTCTGAACTGTACCTTTAAAAATAACTTTCAACATAAACTATAAACGTTGATTTTATGCTATGAATTTACTGTCAAAAGTCTATTCACCACACCACTTACAAGGCCTCCATCTCCAAGGCATGTCTGTGTGATCAGATTTTAAATGATCATTTTTAACGTATTCTCTAATTATTAAGCGGTTAACACTGCTCTTAGTGGTTGTGGCTGCTAAGACAAAACGTGCCAGGAAACATATGTGCTAAGGTCAAACAACGAAAGGCAAAGAAGGTTATTTTGTATTTTAATCTCAAATGATTTTTATTTATTTTTAAACAAATTCACTGAGGCAGAACAGAAGTGTTACGTTCATTGCATAATAGTTCCACACAAACCTCCTCCAGGGAGTCAGCTGATTTTTGTTTGTATCTTTGTCACGCGCGAATCGTGAGCGTGATAGAACTGCAGTGCGTGCGTGATTTCAGCACCAGCTCATACTGGTGGCTTTTCTCTGCTCGTGCTTCACAAATTCTGAGAGGATGTTCGTGAGTGTGCAAAAGTCACAGCGTTGTTTCTGCAGCTGGAATATCCTGTGTGCCGCACTGCATGACCTGTTGCCCTGGCAACTGCCCGCCTCGCATCAACATCTGCAGCATCAGTCGTCCACTGGCTTCTGTCAAGGTCACCAGCGAGATGCATCATGGGAAGCCGAGGAGGACACCAGGACGGAGCAGGGAGGAAGAAGGGTTCACCATTATCATCCCCCACCACACTCGCTCACGCAAACTCCGTCCGCGCATGCGCCTAGTCTTTTCGTTAACTGAGCTGACCAACTAACCGAAATAAGGCTGTATCCATAATAGGACATAGACGCCGCCTCTCCTCACGGGATGCGGTGATGATGCGCAGGAGTCATGAGATCCTGCACGTCAAACTCTGACGGGGCGCGGCCACATTCACGGCGTCCCTGCGTCCTCATTTCTCATAGGCTGGCTTCAAACAGACTACAACTACGTGCGCTTCCCCTCGCAGCTCCCGTATGCACAGCCTATATGAGAAAAGAAGGGAGGCACTGCCGCAAAAAGCCACCGCTGCAGCTCCCGTGTCCGGACTGGCAGTCACGACAGGTGAGAACCCTTTATTTGTCCGCTTTGTGCACGGGTTAAGGGTCTTTGGGGGCAAGCAGGGGGTGGGAATAATCTACTACACCTCCACTTTGACCGGCATCAGGCCGCGCGAGTACAAAAAGGTTAACTTTATTATTTCAACTACTTTTTCTTTCCATTTAAACCTGCATTATAGCAGCATGGTACGGATAACTTGAGATCGGTTTCTGATGGGAAATGAGGGGAGAGTAGTCGTGTCCTCCCTGATGGAGTCGGTTTGGTACCACGGACAGCGCCTAATGAGGTTTCCTCCTTTTCCTGCAGTTTTCAGCACCGACGGGCGGGTCCTGCGAAGCCTTTTAAACACCGCCTGAAGCTCCCAGCTCCAGACTCCATCCTGCAGTTTGGAAATCCTAAAATTTGCCCGGTGTTCGCCCAGACAGACTTGAAAAGATGGAGAGTCAGGCAAGAGATTTTAATATTCTTTATTCTGTGTGACCCACATTCAGAGAGAGACAGAGAGAGAGCGGTTGTAGGACAAAACAGGCCTACTGCTCCAGTTTGCATTTAGTGAACTGGATGAAAAACAGATGAATAGTCACTGCAACTAAAGGATTTATTTTTAATACTTTCCCTTTTTTTCTATATAGAGTGTAAGTGAAGCTGTGTGGGTGGTATAAGCCAGTATGTGCGCCATGAGAGCTCTCTGAGTCATGCAAAGCTCTGCAGATGGGTATCAAATGTGCACCATGTGTATGTTTGTGCATTCTGGTATTATCTGTCATTTCAGTAGCAGTGTCTGATTTTGTGCGACTTAATGCATATTTCATTCTACTTTATACTTTCAGTTTTATTACTGTATGTTTGTTTTAGGTTAATGAGAGAAAGATTAGACATGTAGGGTGAGAGGACAAGAAAATATGCTTCCAAAGGTTAACATAACTATAAATTGCCTCAAATTCAGATACTTTTACATATTTTCTGGTTGTCACAGTCTAACAGGTTGTCAGAGATACACAACCTTCATAGTAGATGTCAGTTTGAAGCTAAATGAATTTTGTTGAAACCTTTTGCAGTATAAATGAAGCCTTAAGATTTGCTTTCTAGTTACAAAGCATGGCACTACATTTGACACAAAAATAAGAAAGCAATTTTATTTCCTCCCAAAAATCAATGCTATGGTGGAAAGTATGTGACATATGAAGAACATCAGGTTCCCAGTAGTTTAGCTCTTGTTTCCATTTATTTGACTCAAAAAACTACTTTTTGTTCTAAATGTAATCTGAAATCTTCACATGAAAAAAATGAGGAAAGATTAATTTCAAGCAATTAATTAAAAGTCATTTTGTACAGTATTAAGGTACATGCAGTTACATGTTTACAGTTATAAACTGTGCAGATTACATTAGGAATCTTAAAAATCTTTTTTATTAAGAAACTTCTGTCAAAGATTACAGTCCCAACAATTTAATAATAGTGCTGATTTAATAATGGCTGATGTTGTTGTACTTTATTGTAATTTAACAAGGAAATGTCTTAAAACAAAAGAGGGAATTGTTTCCTAAAAATAAACAAAAACCTTTTAATTGTTTCTGTAGGTGATACAAAAGACGTCAGATATTTGGTGGTGAGTACAAGGTCCAATTTCACAGGATTTGTTTGTCTTTAAATGTTTAGTGACTCAGATATTTATGACTAACCTTACACACTGAAGCAATTATAGCCTTGCTCAGATGGCCTCCTTCTGCCCCACCCTCCTCTGTTCATACAAATTATGAATCTGCTTGTCAGTACACCACCTGACACCTGTGACACCCTCCCCTCACAGAAGAGCCTGAGTCCTTCATAATGAACAGATCAATACATTAACCCTGCTCCCTGGTTACCTTCAACAATTCAGTCTTCAGAGACTATGAGCTGGTTGGCTGAGCGCAGATGTAGGTCAGATGCACTCATCGTATCTGTGTGTGTGTGTGTGTGTGTGTGTGTGTGTGTGTGTGTGTGTGTGTGTGTGTGTGTGTGTGTGTGTGTGCACGCATGCACACACACCTCCGTGCAGCGCTGCTGTGGATTAGTGATACTTTAGTGAATGAGACGCTGCCGCATGTTTGCTGCACAGTGGTTACTTTCAGCCTCTGTCAATAAACGTGTCACCTCCAGGCTGTTGCCATGGAGATGAAGGAGGGAGGAGGGGGAGCTGTGGGCGTTCTTGGATGGATGGACAGAGGAGTGGAATAAGGGGTGGAGGTTTAAATGTACACACGTTGTGTTAAAAAAAAAGATGCAGTATGAGCACAGAGGTCTAATGTATGCGTCATGTGATCATCTGATACACACAGTTGTACTAAATGACATGTAGGTTGTATAAACGACACAGAAATATCTGTTTGTTAAATCTGTGTTCTGCTGTATCAGGGAGGATTTCTGCACACTGGAACAGTGTGATCTGATGCTGTTATCATGAGACAGGTTGCCATAGTAACACAGCATCTGTTCAGCAAATGTGTTTGGTGCAACAGGCTACTACCAAGTTTGTCCTTCTCCTGTTTAGAGTGTTTTTAGGAGCTTGATTATTACATTTGTCTGCATGAAACCAGAGGTGTTTCCAGGGGTTTTTTTAAGACGTGGGAGACCAAGAATAATGACTTGGAAGAGTATATTATCAGAACTATACAGTGTAGAAAACTGGTTTAGAAAATCCTAATTTCCAGGCTTAGGCACAGACATGTGCACTAAATCAAATGGTATTAAATGAAATATGGAACTCTGCAGGAGTCCTATTATTAAGCTAATTGTTTTATATTGATTGAGTCATTAGCAAAGTAGTAAAAGAAGATTTAGGTTGTTTACTTAAGTAAAAATCTAACTTCTACCTGAGTAGTCTAAGAGTGCTTTTCTGAGAGTGTTTTAGAAAATATACTTGAAGTAATTAAGTAAAAGTACTCATCACAAATAATCACAGACAAAGTGGCATATTAGTGGACCATAATTATTGATTAAGTAATGATTACATCACTTAAATGTTGCAGATAGTCCAGAATAGTCCAGTCCAGTGGGATTGGGACAACATTAAGGTCCAATCTGCTGGCACCACCCTCTCCTTTTCCTGGACACGCCCTTGCATGAAACAGGTTCTCTTAAAAGGACCATTAAGTCCTTCAAATGTTTGCAGTAATGTGAATAAAATGCTTGAAATCCAGTTGGATATACCTTCATAATTCAAAATATAATCATAAAGTGTTTCATTCATAAAATCAAGAAGAGCTTCGGCAGTTAGAAGAAAGAATGTGTCCCCCAGACACAGTAGATGGACAGGTTACAATCCTCTGGATCACAGATGTCAAAGTGTAGCTGAAATGTAGCTGTACAGACATTTAACCTTCTCATTGATCGCAATTTGAGATATTTTGGGTGCTGTCAGGTGACTGACGAATTCTACTGAGTCACTGTGACTTGACAAAAAAAAAGGATGAAAAGGATGACGGAGAGGAAGACAAAGGTGAAACTGAGGTCAAATGTAGAAAG